CGATGCTGCTCAGCGACAGCCGTGAAGTAGTCGCAGCTGCGTATCGTGTCATGCGTTACTCCTTTACTGACCGCAAGTCGCTCCGAATTATACGGGCCCTTCATACAGATCACTTGGTCATCCTATCATTGGTCAAGGAGAGCAAGGCTAGTGTTGAGCGTGAACAGGCACTAAAGTTTGTTCGAGCTTTTCTTGATGTCAAAGGAGGCGTTGAAGAGATTGCACGCGCCGTAGTCCGCATCATTGTGGCTGTGGCCGAGCATGCAGAAGACCGCCTTAGAAACATTGCAACACTGACTCTGGCTGAAATCCTTGTACGAAAACCATCTCTTCTGGTCTCAGCTGGAGGCATGGGCGCTTTGGCCGATGCTTTGGGAGAAGGAAGCTACCTCGCCGCAGAGAGTGTTGGTACCTCATTCCTCTACCTTCTTGACACACCCAGAAGACGTCGATTCCTGCGATCCGGGCGAGAACTCGAAGCCCCGTTTGCATTGTTTACTGACGCAAGCACGATTTATGGACATCTTCACGAAGAAAAACTCAAAGTCAATGCCAAGGTCATTGCGTCTTTGCTCCGAAGTTGGGGCGGACTACTCACTCTTTCGATGAACGACTTTCTTCCTCTCCGATCTTTACTCTGGTCATTGCAAATACCTACTCCTCACGTTCGGAGTGTTATTCTAGAATTACTATTCGATCTTCTTAGGATCAAACCTCCTTCGTGGTCATCCTCGTTTCTCGCTGGACGTCGACTGACTACATATGGACGTGTTACGAACCTCAAAAACCAGCAAATCAAAGACACGACAGCTTCCAGTAGCACTGAAGATGATACCACCAGGTGGAGCTTGCTGGATCACTACGTCTCTGTGATTCTGGCGGCATTTCTGCACGCAGGCTTGATGCCAGCCTTGCTGCAGGCCGAAGCAGAGCCCCTTACACTGCCGTTGAAGCGCAAAACAACCTTGCTCATCGGAGAGGTTCTGAAAATGGCAAATGAACTCTTGCCACCATCATGGAGCGCCCAGCTCCAGGTGCTTCCTCAGCTCTTGCACTCTGCAGCAAAGTTTCAATCCGAAAGCCGTTTTGTTGCAATTGGCACCATTTACCAAGTGGACAGTATCAACAGAACACTCTACCGGTCGGACCCAACATCCTTGTACAGCACCAAAAGCATCTCGACTTCTGATGATGCATCAGCAAATAGACAGTCTGATCAAGCAGCGAAGCTGCAAGCTGCTATGCAAGTAGACGAGGGCCAATTTCGGAACCTGATGGTCGAAACCCAGGTACTGAACACAGTCACATTCCAAAAATGGAGATGGGACTTGATTCTGAACATCATCGAGGGGCCGTTGTTGAACCCAAAAAGGTTGGATGAAGCCATCAAGGTTACCAAATTTATCCACCGCGTCCTAGGATTCTATCGCCCGTTCAAATATCGATTCTCTGAGGTTAAGAACACTAAGCCAAACCAGCGATATGTTCGAGCAGGCTGTGCTCTAATGCAAAGCCTGCTACAAAACCCCGAAGGCGTCAAATACTTGGCGGAGAGTAAGTTTATCCGGCAACTCGCAGAATGCCTTTCGCACTTTGATCGGATGAGCGGCCTGACATCTGAATCACCCATTTTCCAGACGGATCGCATGAACGAAACGCTTACTGGGGGTTACTTTGCGCTGCTCGGGGCTCTGACGAAAGATCTCCGGGGTATTCAAATTCTGGAACGATGGAGAGTTATCAATATGTTCTATCACATCATCGAACTCAACGACCGCGACGATCTGATCCGGACCCTTTTGAGCAACCTGGACTACACACTGGACGGCCATCTACGCATCATCATTTCGAAAGCAATGACGTCGTGTTCTAAGGAGATACGCATCTTTGCCACTAGATTGTTACGCAAGTACGCAACCAAACCCATGGGAGTCAGCAGTTCTACTGGTGTAGCCGAATGGGCCATCAGACTGCTGGTGACGCAGCTTTACGACCCGGACGTAGAAGTGTGCGAGGTTGCGATCAAGATCCTCGAGGAGGCTTGCAATCAAAAGGAGTCGTTGGAGTTTGTGGTCAAGTGCCGTCCAGCGCTGGACCATTTGGGCGAGATTGGGGCACCGCTGCTACTCCGATTTCTGTCAACTTCGGTAGGCTACCACTATCTGGACGGATTGGATTACATCACGAGAGAGATGGACGACTGGTTCTTGGGGAGAAATGACACCTATGTGGCCCTGATCGAAGCGTCTATGGCCCGCGCACTTGCAGACATACCTGAGAAGCCATCGGTTCAACAAACATACGACGAGGCGCCTGAGCCGACAGACTATGGTCTTGTGCCGCCGCATTTTTATCGCGAGCTAACGAGAACCAAGGAGGGATGCAAGCTCCTCAAACAAAAAGGACATTTTGATGAATTTGCCGCGACGATTCGAGACTTTGCATCAGAAAACGACGACCCCGAGATTATCCTCAAGGTCAAAGGCTGCCTGTGGGCGGTCGGCAATGTCGGGTCCATGGAGTTGGGCGCGCCATTCCTCGAGAACTCAGACGTGGTCAAGTGGATTGTGCAGATTGCCGAGCAGTCGGAGGTTATGTCGCTCAGAGGGACAGCCTTCTATGTGCTAGGGTTGATTTCGAGGAGTCTTCATGGGCAGGAAATTCTGCTTGAACATGGTTGGGATGGCGTAGTCAATGATTCAGGTGAAGCGCTAGGCTTTTGTCTACCCCTGAACTTCAACAAGCTCTTCACGGTCAGTAACGGAGTTTCTTTTTCTCAGAAGAAAATGCACTAATGGTTCTGCAGATGGGACCCTGGGTGGCACAGGCAGAAGAGATGAGCTGGAACCCCAAAGCGGAGATCAAGGTTGCGGTCACGGATGAGGACCCGGTCAACGCGCGCATTCTCAAACTTGTGACGGACCTGGGCAACACTGTGCTTGCCAAGAAGGCAGCCAGCGACCTGCAGGCGTAAGTGACTTGCTGTTGTGAAACAAAACATACGATGAGTGAGCGCAGAGGAGCTAACGCGTGGGCATTTAGTATCAAGGCTAGAAAGGCACCAGGCTTCAGCAAACCGGCCATTTTCCACAAGGTGATGCAGATACTAGAGGCACATCATTTTCGGCTTCCAGCGTGCCGGTTCATACTAGATCTGTTTGATAAGCGGGTCCTGGAGCAGATTGTGCTGGAAGAGGAAGACGAGCAGGAGGACGAGGTGAGCAGCCAGTCCGAAGAGAGCACGGAAGCGAGTGTTGGGGGCATGAATGGCGCCACTAGGGCATTGTAGAGCATGGTAGTGTTGACAGGAAACGGAGCCCGAGGGATGGGACTTGGGCGTTGAGGAGCGTTGTGTATGTATGTACAGGGATGTTGATGTACGATAGTGGTGTTTGTGGAGCCGAGCGAGAAGCATGGATCAGGTGCGTTTGTTTTGCATACAGCCATGGAGTTCCCCGGTGCGCTATGGCTATGGAGAGGTTGCCAAGGAGGAGCAAGCGCACTAGGCTGGTGCTGTTTTCGGTTATTTCTACCGAGGGGCACGGGTTAATGGGGGGAGGGGGGAGGGGCGGCGCTATAGTCAGGCACAGTCAGGTTGAGTGAGCGAGCAAGCGAGTGAGTGAATGAATGAATGAATGCAAGCAGTTTGCCACGCGCAGCACCGCGTGGGGAAAGATGAGCGAGTGATGTGGGAGGGGTTAATGTGTATGTGTAATACATGTATGTATGTATGGATATGTGTATGAGTGTATGTATGTAGTCATGCATGTGTGTATGGATATGCTACTAGAGCAGAAGGGATAGCTGGGGGACGGGGTGCTTAAGGCGCGACTTGGCGCGAGTGGTGTTAGTGTATAGTGTAGTGTATGTAGTATGGTTGTAAGAGGGGTGCGGCTGCCCCGCCGTTTATGGTGAATGCAAGTCGTCACGACTGTCGGACCCTTTGGGGGATGTACAGGGTCCTTTGCGGCGGCCAGGCGTCTGCAAACGCGAGCTTGGCGGGCGTGCGGCACATGGAAGGCATGGGCTTGACGTTTGGCAGTACCAGCGGGTGCGGGCTTTGATTGGCCAGGGTCCTGCTAGACTCGACGTCCATGACGCTTGCAAGCCCGTCGTCGCTGCTTGTAGACATGTCGACAAAACTTATGCGGCCCCAAGAGTGGATAGGCCAATGTGCTCCGGCAAGACCTACATCCACGTCTATTCAGCGCGGGTCGCGCGGCCAAGATGGACATGACATGGCCGTGCTGGTGCTGCTGAGAGTCCAGCTGGACCTGCTTGGTGGCCGCTGACAAACAGGACAGCACAGGACAGGCCAATATAGCCCGACATTCCATCTCCCCGGACACAGGGCTACCAGAGGGCAAATGGGCCGCGGCACGGTGGTTTGAAGCGGTCGGGATACTCTACACGAGTCGGGGTGCAGGTGGCGCGCAAAACAAGCAAGTTGTCAGACTTCTTCGTTCGATGCATTCTGCAGTTGGACCGTGCAATTTTTATACCAAGCGGGCCCCGGATTGGCCTAGCCCTGCGCCCGATGACTGCCTTCTGTCTCGATCCGAGAACCCCAGAGCTGACACAGAAATCGGCCGCCAACCTTTCTCGACCTGATACGAGGCCGGTGCGAGAGCAACATCGCCGATCCTTTTGCAAACTATCCGTCCAGCATGGATGACCAGTGCAACTTGAGCCCATTTGAACATGGCCCTCTGCTCCTCCCTTTGCCGGCCTTACCACTCTCACCATCTCTCTCTCTGCGTCGCGACTCTTGCTCGCGCCCTCCCCCTTGCCACGCAGCCCTGCTTGTGCTTGTATTATAACAAGAAACACTTGGCCGCCGCAGTCTACCATTTCAAGACTGCCTCTTTATCCCCCCGGAACTCCTCCTCCACCAACACAAACACCACTGCCACCCCCCGCTGCCGCTGCCGCTGCCGCCGCAGTCATCATCCAGCCCAGCACCATCACGCGCCCTGCTTATCTTGAGCATTTTACCATCTCCGAGACGCAAGCCTTGCTGCCAACTTCGCTCACTGCACACGCCCGCTACCATCCACCCCACCCTCCCCCCGGCCCGCTCCCCACCCACTACAAGGGCTTTTCCACTGTACATGGCTGTCGGAGCCATTGCACAACACAGCGCATCTACATGAATCGCCAACGGACAAAAGGGTGCTCCATCCTTGATAGCGCCGAGCACTCATTCGAGCCTCAACTCTCTGCACCGGCCTTCATGTGCCAAAATGCTCGCTCCACAGAGGCTTCCGACACCGTAGCCCTGGACGCCCACCGCGATGCCCGCCAAATCGTTCGTCTGATCCAATGTCCACGATGCTCCAAGCCTCTGAGCACCCCGGTCACCCTGCCCTGCGGCCATACCGTCTGCCGCGGCTGCCTCCCGCCTCCACAACCTCGCACCAACATATCATATCCCAATACACCAGATCGTCTCATGGGCATTGCGTGTCCATTGCTGGGTTGCGGGGCCGAACACGCCTCGGCGGAGTGTTCTGTCGACGTGACCCTGGCCAAATTGATGGACCTAATCAAGATGGAAATGACCAAGCATACCGCAACCATGGAAAACACTCCAACGCTTCTCGTTGAATTGCTCCAGCTTGAAGATGATGCGTCCATGGACGAGAAAGAAAAGGAGACGTCTGCACGCCAAGGCCACCAGCAGGAACTACACGGCGGGCATCTTGCGTCTGCATTTACCATGGCTGACCTGGGCAACCTCCGGTACACTTCCGAGATCTGCTACCAGTCACTATCGGCAAGTGGGGACGATTACGAGCACCTAGACCTGATGCTATTGGAACGCCTAAGGGAAGTAATACACAAGGAGCTAGACTGCCTCGTCTGTTACAACCTGATGCTGGACCCTACAACAACGTCGTGCGGTCATACATTTTGCCGCCGTTGTCTTGCCCGCGTCATGGATCACAGCAGCATTTGCCCGTTTTGTCGAAGAGGCCTGCATGTCCCTGCCTCATTACAGAATCAGCCAAGCAACGTCATACTCAACTCTCTGTTGAATGGACTTTGCCCAGACTTGGTAGGTGCTCGTGCAGATGCCCTCAAGGCTGAAGAGCAGGCGGGCGACAACGTGCTAAACGTTCCGCTGTTCATCTGCACGCTGTCGCTTCCATCCATGCCCACCTTTCTTCACGTCTTTGAGCCCCGCTACCGACTTATGATGCGACGTGTCATCGAGGGTAATAGGCAGTTTGGTATGGTCATGTACAACCGCACACGCGCTCCGCAAGGCGATCTGGGCTCAGTTCCTTTTCTGGAATATGGCACGCTACTGGAAATTGTCAACTACGAGCTTTTGCGCGATGGGCGTAGCTTCATCGAAACACGTGGCGTAGGTCGATTCAAGGTGAGAGCGCATGGCATGCTTGATGGATATCACGTCAGCCGCATCGAACGTGTTGAGGATGTTTCTCTTGCGGAGGAAGGAATACTAGAGCAGCGCGAGACTACCATGGCACGTGACTATGCTGAGGCCTTCTTCCGCGATCATCCGCAGACCCAGCTCCCCACCGAGGTTGCCATTGAAACTTTATCCACACAACAACTGCTCGACAGTTGTACAGCCTTTGTTCGAGAGATGAGGGAAGCCAGCGCACCTTGGCTCCGCGAGCGTATCATCCAGGTGTATGGCGAGCCACCAGAGGACCCTGCCATTTTTCCGTATTGGTTTGCTTCCGTCGTACCTATCGTGGAAGAGGAAAAGTACATTTTGCTGCAAACGGAACGGGTCCGCGAGCGCCTCAAGATTGTGTATTCATGGATTGGTAGGATCCGTGGGCAGCGCTGGTAAGTTGTCTAGCTCTCTTTTACCCAGCCTGCATTGCGCATGCACAAATTCCCTGAATCCTGGTATCCCGGACTCCGGACTTCTCACATGCCGTCTTCTGCGACGTGCGTTGCAACGTTATGGCCCCGTTTTGGTGCAGCTGATGCCGAGAGCCTGTTGCACCGAGACAAGCATTATCTCCGTTGTCCTCGTCACCATGACGCAACAGATGTGCGTGAGTTGTCCGAGCCTAGATTCACCAGTCCTTGCTCCATTACAACACCAAAACCTTCGTGGGCGTCCTTTATCTTGCAAACCGGCTAACATGTTATCTTTTCCAGGTCCTCAGGTAATTCATGCAGCATCCTGTGACTCTTGACTACTCTCGTCGCCATCGCCATTGCGCTTCTGTCTGCTGCCCCTCCACGTCAAGCCATGATTCGCATCCACTAGAAAAGCAGGTTTTGATGACGAGTGTGTGTCTCCACCATCGAATCGAGAAACCGGATCCAACAACCTTCCCCCGGGCCCCTTCTGTCTCTCTTCAACTTGAGGACCCTTGGTTACAGTCTCTTTCGAAGAATTGCTAGCCATTCAAACTTCTCCTGTGTATAGGCATCGTGGCTGTTCTTTTTTTAAGCCCACTCACGACAACTTTTTATCATCATCTTTGGTCGTTTTTTGTATACTGCTGGTCTTTTCGCTTCTTCAATGATTACCCCCTTTCAGGAGGACCGGAGCTTGCCGTGTCCATGTTTGAAATGTCCTTTTTTTTATTTATATATTATATAGACCCCAGGTGCTAGCCTGGTCGGGCGCTTTCTTCATATAGGAGCGACAACATCAACAAAAAGGGGATTATTGATCTTTTTTTTTAAATTTCGTCTTGTGTCCTTTTGCACATCACATTTCAAAGGGGAAGAAGAATTATCGAGAGAAGCCTGAAGGAGTGTATGAAAGGGGATATTTTTTAACTCCTTTTTCAGCGGGGCAAACGAATATGACTTGTATGATTTTTGCCTCAAATATACACCAAAAAAGAAACAATCTTTGGATTTTTTTTCTTGTCAAAAACTCCATGTTGTTTTGTGCATGTGTGTGTGTGTTTGTGTTGGGGATTGTTCTCTTTCTGAACAAGCATTGATTGGCGTTTTTTTAAAATATCATTGGCTTGGTGTAGTTGATGGACAGTTGTTTCTCACTAGCCTAACATTTATTTCATGCCAGTGCAGAATTAGGTGGGGGGTGTTTTTTTGCCCATGATTACGAAACTTCGATTTATATATCTTGTAGATACTATAGTATGTGTGTATGGATGTGGAAATGCATACATACTTCCTGTCTTACCATGGTGCTTTCTATGCCTGCTTCGTTTTGCTTATGTGTGGGCTTGAGGTGTTCTTTCCCTTGATGGCAAGGCTGAGACTCGCTTTAGGGGTTGTTTGTTGATAAAGGTCTGGTGAAGTAGGTGGGTCGTCGTTCTTACTTCCTCAACGTTCTTCTTCTTCAACTATTCACTTTCCGGCTCTCACTCTGGATATTTCGTTTGATTGTTCAACTGCCAGGGAATGTTCCACTTTGGTTGGTAACGATTATGCTGTATGGTGTACAACCTGACTGTAGCACCTCGTGACACGTACAGACGAAGCGAGGGTGCAGCTGCATGCACCGCCACCACCATGCATACCCTTCATGGGCTGTAGGCTGACGCGAGGCTGAACTACTGGGCCCCATGTTTTCAGTAGCTAAGCCCTCGATAATGCGTTGTTCTCGTCTGACGCTTCCCTACTGTTTTTCTATCTTGTTAGCTGAGCTAACCGATATCGTTTACTATGGAGGCTCTTTCTGGTGTTGCCAGTGGCATGGCCGTTGCCTCCCTATCGATACAGCTCATTGATTCCATCGAGACCATCAAAACCTTCGTCCGCAATGTGAAAGATGCACAACAAGAGTTGGAACGTTTGGTGGACTTACTGGAGCGTCTTGAGGCCTTGTTGGAAGACGTTCGCGCCCTGATGGAACGACAGACATCGTTGCAGTCAGAACACTTTCCGATGCCCTCAATGACGATCTTCAAATGTCTGAAGAGCTGTGAGAAGACACTTGAGCCGCTTCATGCTATTGTTGATAAATACACGCCCGCACCATCGAAAGTTGGTACACGTATGGATAAACTCAAAACCGGATTGAGGTTCAGTCTCAAGGCAAAAGATGTTAAAGATTTCGAAACGCGAATCGAGAGAGAAATTGGATTTCTACATGCTAGTCTCGGTGCGAACTGCGGAGCCATCTTGTGAGTTTCCAACAAGGCCAATCATTGTCAAGGCTGTGCTGAGTGGTTGTTGATGTTAGGATGCAACTTGGCCCTGCGTTACTCAAAAACCAAAACAATAACGAAAACACTCATTTATGTCCGACGGAACTTGTCATCTCGGATAGCAAATCTGCAATTGTGTCCTCTAAAGAGGATCTGACCTCGTTATCGATCACGAGAACTACGCGTGTTTCATCATCAGTAATACCAGTCCATTCATCACTTGAAAGAATGGGCGTATATCGACGAAAAATAGTTCGGCGCATACCAGGAAACTCGGAGCAAAGTATATCAGGCTGCGAGCATGGCAACGAATCTATTATTTCTGAAGACTATGAGACAACTTTGCTCTGGAGCGTACTCGGTTATGGACTGACGTGGATCCAGTGCCGGTCATTCGGTGTAGTTTTGCCGAGTCTCAGTACATTCCCGCTGGTTCACAATTTTTGCAGGGAAGTTCACTCCGCCCTGGCAAGTGGTACAATACAAGACTTTCAAAATTTGCTTCATCGCGGGGTGATACACCCATTCTCACTTGATTCCGACGGGCAATCTTTGCTTCATGTAAGGCCCTTGTGTTGTCTTTTGAGCGTGTTTCTCATACTGTCCCTAGATTGCTGCATCATATTCCAGGGCAGATATATATCTTCTGCTTCGAAAACTAGGTCTAAAACATATGTTCGATATCTGGGGGGAGTCTCCTTTGATGACTGAGAATGGCTGGGTTCCAATTGAACCGACCTCGAATAGAATCTCCACTTGTCGGTGTATCTTCGAAGACCCAGAGTTCCCAGTAGATCGTTTCCTTTTCCAAGACCTTCCGTGGGGGATTCAAGGGGATCCTGAGGTCATTAAGTGGTTGTATCAACAAATTACAACTATGTACCTCCCCGAAGATGCCTTTCAAATGCAGCTTGAGCTCATTGAGGGCTTCTGCAAAGTGATCAGAGACAACTCGTTCGACTCGATGTACTACTCATTGTCATCTCGGATCGATTATCCTGGTCTCGATATCAAAGGAGACCTGCTTGATTATTTACAACTAGGAGGAGGTGATCTAGTCGAATCGCTCTTCCTTGGTCGTAACGATAGCTATGAATCTTTCATAACAGGTGATGAATTTCTTACATGGCTGTCAAAGTCATCTCTCAATGTTGAGCAGTTGGTAATGAATCAGATTGCAAAGCTTGGCCCGGGAGCCTTGCTCAAATCCTGGCCTTATGATCAAAGAGTTGTATTTCGAACTCTTGAAACGGGCGAATGGAAGCTTGGATTCGAGTGGGCATTGGACGAAGAAGCATGTGGTTATCTGCTTGTCTCAGAGTACCAGTGCTTGACGATCGAGTCTGAACACTTTTCGTATTCATATATGAAACGGCCATTTCTTGAGCATATATGGAAGCGGATACCGGGTGAATTGGAGGAATGGAAACCCAAGCAGGACCTCCGCTTCCGACGCCGCATGGCTGTCAAAGCTCGCAAAGAACGCGCACGAAATGGTCAAAAGACACCGAGAATCAGAATGCCGGGAGCATGGGTAAACTAAAGAGCTTAGTCAGTTATGTCGAATGTATCATATGTAGTTACTTTTAACACGTTACTTCTATTTCAGTTCACATCTCCAAATTACATTTAATACCATGTCTTTATCCACCAGCCCCCGGTTTCTCTACCATATTCTGTTCAACACTCCGGGATATCTTGTATACGCTTTCTCCACAGTTTGAGCACGCTATCCACAAGCAAATTATCGCACGATTCCAATCTATACACCACTTATTGCCAATATAGTTCTAAACACACATCCTATGCGCCCTAGTACGTACAGCCAATATGTGTTTCCCGCCCTGAATCACCGTCTCTTAACTAGACATTTAACAGTCTTTATCAGAGACATTTCCTGCCTGGGTAGACTAAATGTGCTTCCCCTACTCTAGTTCTACATGCTTGAAGATTCGAATATTCAAGTGTCAAACATACATTTACTCACCGTACTGTGCATCCTATGCAAAAGAAATTCAATCAGATAGCAGAATGATATTGGTGAAGTAGAATCTTTTGTAGCATCTGACAGTGGTAATTCGTTGAAGACGTATGCTGGTTTACCAACCAACTTCTTCAACATTTCGCCCGTTTCACAATAGCGAGACTCCATCCAACTGCTACGTCTCCTCTAAAGTGCTCGAATTATCGACTTGCAAAACATATGTTGCCCTGTCACAAGTTCAGATATTATGATTGATCCATAACTACTACTTAACCGCCTCACTGCATAGCCGTAAGCACGTTCTCCAAGGCGTGAAGAAAACTCTTGTATAACATAAAATCATATATCATAATACTCTATTTTTTTTTTACTACAAACACCTCAATGCCCGACTTTACAGATTTTTACACGGCGACAGTTTTACAATGGAAACTGCAACGCCTCCACCTTCGCACTAGTAGGCTGTCCAAGCATCAACTCTGAAAGTACCAATCCCGTTCCAGGCGCATGCGAAATACCCCAAGCACCATGTCCCGCAGCAATAAAAACACCTCCCTTGGCCTCTTCTTTTGTCTTGAGGCCCCCCAGTTTCTCGTCTGGTATCCGCGCAACAATCGGTCGACCACTAGATGTTACTGGACGGAAACACTATACATAGTAGAAACATTAGCATCGCACGCGTACATAGGGGGAGTAAATGCAATTAAACATACCAAACCCTCCCTCAAAACCTCCATCTCTTTCTCCGGTACCGCAACTATCATAACCTGCGCACACTGTCTCAACTGCTCAATCGCCTTCTCACTCGGCCGCACATCCGTCGCAACATCCGGCAGCGGCACAGTCGTGCTATTTAGACCCCCCAGGTACAACTCGCCGCCGAGCCGCGCAAACCATTCTGGCGAGAAGCCGAGCGTGTCGGTTGCGAAGATGGCGTGGCAGGCTTCGGTATCGGCGTCTGTGGGGTTGAAATGTGGGTTCCGGACAAGCAGGGAGTGGCCTGCTAGCGGGGAGATGGGGATGCGGGATTTGGAGGCGGGGAAAAGGGTGGTGAAGACGCGGGGGGACCAGGCGCCGGAGGCGATTACGAGGCGGGAGCATGGTACTGTTTTTGAGATAGTTAGTACATGTGCAATTGATAGGTATGTGTGTGTGTGTGTGTGTGTGCTTGTGAAAGGGTCTTACGCTCGGTTTGGGAGTCGGCATCGTCGCCTTGTTGTATCCGCACACCACTTAGTACGCCCTCGGAGTCTTGAATCACACCAGTTGCTCGCGCAGGTTGATGTATGGTTACGCCCCTTGCCTTGACCTCTTTCAGTACCCACTGGCAGAACCTCAACGGGTCTATCTGCGCTGTCGTCCCGTCTCGACTAATGACCTCCATGGTCCCTTCTTGTGTGCGTCGCAGCCATCCTGGGCAAGTGACCTGCTCTTCCCGCGGTTTGTTGTGACCTGCTGCTTGTGCTCTGCTTGTTCCATTTTCCAGCCAATCTTCGCCGCTACCGGCAATGGCCGACTCGCTGTCTTGCGAGAGCGAAACGCCGGTTGAGGAGGAATAGCCCCATGCTTTGCGGCCGCCGTGTGCCTGGGCGAGTTCGGAGTGGAGTTTGAAAGATAGAGTACCGAGAGAGGATACGGATGGTGCGAACCCTAGAACGGGGAAAATATTAATTAGATACACGAATTCGAGGTGGATTAAGAAATTGTGGGCGTGCTGGAGACTTCTAAGATGCAGCACACCGCCGCAGGTACATACAATCAGCACTCAGGAACCCCGCTGCGAGCCCCGACGCGCAATGGAACAACTCGGCACTCGAATCGATAATGTGCACATTTTGTGGGTTGGTTTTACCGGCCTCAGTCAGGTAGTAGGCAGTACACAGGCCTATGATGCCGCAACCCAGTATAACGGTGTCGGTGTTGTCGGAGATAGGAGGCTGTTCGCTGACAGCCATGGCTACTAATCTGGCTCCTTCTCCGCGTGGGGTATCGGCAGTTTAAATGAGGGGTACGTAGCGAAGCAAAGAAAACGGTCAAATGGGCAGAGCAACCAGAAAAGAACAACAGGGCCGAATCTCTCTTTTTTGCTGACTATGAATCGCATACCATACGCACTTGCTAACAGGCCACCTTTAAAAGAGCGCCCCAGTAGTCGGTTTTCGGCGCCGATGCGCAAGTCTGACCACTTACACCCATACACGCACGCTTCATCGGTTACCATGCTAAACGGAATACATGCGCTCCTGTTTCCCCCTTCCGTCTACCCTCAGTGGTAGAAGGAAGCGACACAGCACATATTATCGTACGAGGCAATGTGGAAAAAGAGGGGACCGCAGCTACGCGTTGCTCTTTGTCGTGAGTGGCGCAAGGGGTTAGTAAAAGCCCACTTCTACCCATTCAAACTCGGGTATAAGTGGTCATGAGCCGATATGGCCTGATTGCAGCTGTAAGGATCGCATTCTGGAGCTGCGCCTTTACTGCTTTGGTGCACGCCTTGTCGTACTATCCGCTGCAAGGCTCGGATGATCGACTCGGCTGCCTGCGTGCGAAAAGCTCGCTGCTTTACTTTTGTGCTGCTATTGATGTAAGAGCTTGTAAAGCGGGTGGTGCCATCACCAGAGAGTTTGGAAACCCAAAACGCCCCCCGCATGCCCGTTGCTGTAGGGTGAAATGGGCCCAACATGTGATGCACCAGAGAGTGGTTTGGTAATGGCTGCATTGATACTATCTAATATAATTGTGGAACGTCTCAGGTGCGGACCCGAATATCTGCATGCTATTGATGATGTCGAATGCTTTTTCCATCATGCTCCCTTTTATCCTGATTTCGTTGCCTAGTGATAACTCGGTGACCGAGCATGTTGAGCGTTGTGGCGGAAAAGACGACATCATGCTTTCGGACCCGAAAGTGTATCCAGTTCATCCAACAATGCTCTTTCCCATGCACGCGGGGTGAAGTTAGCGAGACGAGTCGGGTGTCGAGCGAAATGGATAGGTCTTCTCGTAAACACCAGGGAGTATATCGGCAATATTGTCCTCAGGATTGCCTTTCTCAACATAATGGCAAGCATCATCCATCCCAGTCTCACCCGCCGTCGAAGAACGCGAGCTGGATCCCGTTCCATAGCCAGTTCCATCGTAGAGCCCGACATGCTGTCCCCACGTGCTCTCGCGGTTCTGTCGCTTGCCAGCATTGCTGATACGGCTGTGCAATCGCTCGGTAATCTCCATATCCAGGTTGAGATCCAGCCATTCTGGAAGTATGCCTTCTGCAAGAGCTTCATCGAGCACCAGTTCCCTGTTAGTGTTTCCAAGCATATCCCTATTCAACACAACGAATCTGCCAAGTTCAGGCAATATCCTTTCTGCCGCAGCAAAGTCTTCCTCACGGCGGGCGAGAATCATCTCCGACTCGTTGTCAGGGGCATAGCCGTGGCCATTACATGCCGTGATACCGATGCGGCGTTTGAGATCCCCATTGTGAAAGACTCTCAACATGTAGTCCTTGCCGATGATCATCAACACATTGTTAGAGGGGTCTGTCATGCCTTCGTTCATATTAAGGCAGCGCTGATGAAACTTTTCCGTCAGTTCGTGAACGATGGAATCCCCTTGCATGAATCGACGATCATTGACTAAATCAGTAGTGTTGTCGGTGCTGGGTTGTTCGCTTTCAGGACTCCTGGTTGGAACATGGCGGTGTTCTATGGCGGCTTGGACAACTCCAGTCGTTTCTCGTGAAGTGCCCTGGATCTGATGAGACTCCTGCATATCATCCTGAAGGGGAGCCAGTAAGTCCACGCAAGCTAAATCCAGGTCGAACGCCGGCCCGAACATTGGTGATGGAAAATCTTCATTTTGGTCCAGGTCCAAGAGCTTCCGGAGTGGAGCTGGTGAGGAGGGGATAGTGCCGTCAGGTATAACAGAGGGCAAGGCAAACGATTGCGGCTTCTGATTCTCCGATGAAGGGATAGGCAGTGGTGAAGAACAGCAGAAGTTATGGCCAAAATTGGTTGAGTCTGTGCGGCTTAGGTCAAATAAGAGCTCATCGGCCGGCGACTCTTGGAAAGTGAGGAGAAGAGACGACCTTGGGCGGGGCAGTGGAGTGCGAGGGCTCTAGTGAGTATGTAGTCAGTAACGTTCTCGGATTAGCGGTCGAATGGCACCCACATCAGCGCAAGGTGAAGCATCTAGATCGGGCTGCTTGGCCTTGGTTGGTGATCGCAGACTGCGTAAGGAGTTGATGCTTCGCAACTTGTTCTCCTTCAGCGACCCTACAAGACCTTTGCGCCTTGAGGGACTCTCATTGCTCGATGGCGAATCGTTTGTATTTGGTCGGACGGAGGCTTTGTCTGGCGAAGGACCTGGAGTTGTACCCCTCTCGATCAAGTTACGATCGACGCCAGAAAAGGTGCTCCTTGGAACGATTAGCATATTTGAATGGAATCAAGAAGGACAAGACACTCACTCAGTATCGTTCTTCCTGCATAGGAGCTGGGAAATGCTCTTCTTGGCTTTGAGGCTGAGGAGATCGAAGTGCATGATGAATGGCTGGGGTGCTCTACTGACACCAGAGACTTGATGGGTCGTATCAAGATGTTGGCTGAGTGCGGTGGATAGTGCTATGAGATGGTCTGAGATGGTGGTAGTCACTCATGTAGCTCTTGAACTCTGAACCATGACTGTTTACAGGCATGGTCGGTCCTGCTTGACCGTTGCATGTGAGTCTGGGTCATGATTTCCAGATCAGTTCCAATAGTGAATGATGAGGTACCCTTGTATGTTTGAATCGCAGGCTTTACTGGTAGGCTTTTCGACAAGAAAATCAATCAGCCTGTCACCAACGGACCATCTTGTACAATGGCCTTGGACAGGAAGTTGTGATGAGCGTTTCTGAGACGCGATGCTCACCGGGCAGAGGCTCAGGATTACCGCATCAACAAGGTGTTGTTTTGGGAACAGTGAAAATGGCAAGTAATTGTGAGTCGGCAGCAAGAGCCTCTGGAAAGAGATCCATCCTGACTACTCGATATGGAAGACTGAGTGGGCACGTGACACACGCGGACTGTGCATATGATCCCTGTCTAGCTCCTTCACGTCGCGGTCCACAGCACTACAGCGCTCAACCACCGAGCAGCGCAATCGCCCTCCACTCGATGCCATAGCCGCCATCACCATCCAAGTCGCACTGGATTTGGCTGCAAAACTGTAATCTGTGTAGCGTCATTCAAATACCACAGTTGCGACACAATGGCGCGCGGACGCCCTTCTCGAGCTGCAGCGCGTCGCAGCACGCCTGTTCGCAGCGCAACACCGCAGCAAGATAGCGACGAAGACATGATAGATCCTCCAGAGTCGCGCGCCGAGACCCCAAAAGAGGAAGAGGAAGAAGAGGAGGCCGCATCAGCAGCGCAAGCAAGCGACGAGGAAGCCGCGCCTTCTGAACGTTCACCATCGCCTGCAGTCATCCAGCCTTTCCCGCGTAAGAAGCGACTTGGCCGACCTCCTAAGAACAGGCCGCCGGACTGGAATGCCGGAGAGCCAGATAATTCCGAAGGCGGTACGCCTGTTAAGCGTAAGCGTGGGCGGCCGTCTGGCGGAGGTCGAGGACGACCGCCAAAGGGAGGACAGTCGCATACGACCCGCGTCCCCATCGACAAAGAGGGAACTATGATGGATGTTGTCAATGACGAGGTCGACCTGCCTGAAGACGAAGAGGGCGAGAAGAAGGTCGATAAACTAGGCAATCTCATGGGTGGACGGGACTACCGGGTGCGCATCTTCACTATTAGAGGCAGAGGAGACAGGCAGTACATGTTGTCGACCGAGCCAGCTCGTTGCTGTGGTTTCAGGGACAGCTATCTGTTCTTCACAAAGCACATGAAACTCCACAAGATCATCATAGACGACACTGAGAAGAGGGATCTCATTGACCGCGAGATTATCCCCCACTCATACAAGGGTCGTGCTATCGGTGTTGTCACTGCGCGTTCCGTCTTCAGAGAATTTGGCGCGCGCATCATCATTGGTGGCAAGAGGATCATCGACGACTACTACGTCACGGCAGCGAAGGAGAATGGCGCAGTCGAGGGTGAGCTTGCAGACCCCAATGATCGATTACCTCCTCCAGGCGAGCCATACAACAAGAACCAATACGTTGCCTGGCACGGTGCTAGTAGTGTTTACCACACAGGCGTGCCCAGTGTGCCAACAGCTAACGGAAAGCCTGCGCCTGGAAAGCGAAAGGTCAACATAACATCTGCCAACTGGCAATTCGAGCATGGCTCGGCAGCTAGGTGAGTAAACAATTTCCGCATTCAACCATTCTGCAACCTGGAAGCTAACGCAATCTAGTCGATTCAACTCGAGTCTCTCCAAGCTCCGCAAAGCAAACCTCTCAGGAATCTACGACCCACACACCAACCTCATGTGCTACCCCAAAGTCACGCAGCCAACACACGCGCGATGGGAAGAAGTCGCTCCCGAAGATACCGATGTACCCCCTCTTGTCCGCAGAAAATACCTCGTCGTCGACACCGTCTTCCAGCAGCCTCCCTTTGCTGGTCTCGGCATCCCAGGTCCCGATGGCGACTTCATCGATGTCGGCACCAACGGCCTGCCCAAGCTAGATGCCGAAGACGAGAAGCACATGAAGCCCGAGGAGCTTGAAGCTTTTTCGCAAATCAAGCGTGAAGAGCAGGAGTGGCGGAGTCAGTGGGGTGGGGAGAGTACGGATGGTGCGCGGGTGAAGCCGAAGATTGGGTTTGTAGGTGTGCCCGTTTGAAGGGGGCAGCTTTAAAAAAAAGCATTGATTGGGAAGTTGTGTTGCGTTGTGGATTTTTTCTCCCTCAAACGGATGGATTCTATCCTTGGTCTCTCAAATGGCGAATTTCGGAGTGGAATATACCAATGTGGCACCTTGTGCTGTGTAAACTACTGTAGTAGTCTCACTTTTATCTATAAGTGTGGTGAATCCTAATGCATTCACAAAAGAATTAATGCTGATTGGCCTTGTTATCTAACGTGTGATGGTGTATCCTCCGGAGCAACGCTAAAGTATTTCCATGCTACGCTTGGAGATGTCCGATATTGCGATTTCGGGGTGGAGGGGTTTCGAGGGTCCGGATATTCCTCAGAATGTGTATACACGATTGGCACTGGATCACTCAGTGTAAGATTGCTGCTGCTCCGGTTATGCAAAACTGCTGAATAAGAAAGAAGCTTCTTATCTTGCTGCCGAGACTAGTGAAAAAAAAAGAGGATTAGAGGATGTGTTCTTGAGATTTTCACTTTCTAGTTATTCGAGTAATTACGACATGTTTAAAGATATTTCATCTTGCTCCGATACATGTTGGAATGAAAATGAACTCCCTCGAATATCTCTATTAACTAGTCTCCAATACTATTAATGAACTCAATCATCTCAGACGGACATGAGATGTAGTTTTGTCTGGAGCGATGAAGTTAGATATGGCTAGCTTAGCATGGGTATGCTGCACTGCATGGGCTTGTGGGCTTCGTTGATATCCTTCTGTTTAGCAGCGTATTATTGAAAGGAACAAGAAAGAAAAAGGATGTGGCTTCTTCGTGTACATTGCACTCCGCAGTTCCGCTAACGAGTGTAAATGAGAATATCGCACAAGGATAACAAGCAGTAAGCCTATTGATATGTGCGCTGATAAATATTATCTTGATTGTCTCTTCACTTTTATACACAAGGATAAATCTTAGTACAAGCAGAACACAATCACGCTGTGCAAATCACGCTTGGGTTCTCAGATATCTCAAGGCAGTAGCGCATTTTGCCCGAAATGCAGAGTATATGGGAAGATGGATAGCAAGGGAATGGGGAGGAGCAAGAATGCAGACCGCTTGTACATAGGTAGGAAGGTGTAGACGAAAAAAGAACGGAGTGCGAGATAGTGTATTACATGAGCCATATGAACTAGTTAGTCAACTAACATAGTTACTTATTCTTAGTGCATAATCGGCGGACGAATAGCGTCACTTTTTTCCCCACTTGTCCCACTACTACGGAGATACCTTCCCTGCTCTTTCTTTATTCTCTTCATTTTACAACGTAGCTGTAAGTAAGTAAGGGTTGAAAAGATGTATATTCAATGGAGAAGTTCAGCAAGTGGCGAAATTCACATTGTGTACGCGCGATACTTTTTTTTTCCGCAGGTTGTGAAAACGATTATCGTCTTTGCAACGAAGAAAGACCAGAGAAGAATTCTATTGTTGTTAGACAAAGTTTATGACTGTATCGTTGCATAGAAAATTGTCTGACTACATCATAAAGTAAGTAACGCGACAATTATACGCACGCTAACGAGGCGTGAGTATACCGCTCTTTCTCTCTTGCGCTGTTTTGCATTAACACAAGTGAAAACGCATGGTCTAAGCAAGGACAAGGAAGTGAGGTGTGCAGTAATCTCACACCAGTCCGGGTTTAACTGGGCTCAGAGCAAGTGACTAGGGTGAAAGGGTTTAGACTTTTGGATCTACAACAGAACTGTTTGCTGTTGGGGTTCTCGCGATACCTGTACGAGATCCTCCGTTTCAAGGAGGAGTGCCGATGGATCGTCGTTTGTGTGCGGTTCTGGTACGTTGAATGCTTTGTTAGGCGAGAGGGACAAGGGGTGGCTGGTTGTTCTTGGGATGCTGGTCAGTGGTCGCATGTGTGAGTGCTGACGCTTTCATGACAAGAGTGCATCTACGGCTGGATAGCTCAACAGTGGAAGATGCCGCGCAGAGACATCTCATAGCTGACTTATTGAGGTATTGGTTGGGTAGGCAGCAGCGATTTTGTAGACTTTGTTAATTCAATGTAGGAAATTCTATTTGCATCCACACATTAGGACATCGGTATTATCGAGTGCTTACTATTAGCGTTAGGATTCGGCGGTAATCATTGGCGATCAGTTGAGTCATCATTATAGTGCAATAGTTTTTTCCGATACGATAATTAGATAGACAGCGGCACAGAATAGGCGGTAGAGTTACAACTATTGTGGCGGTTTATTTCGTCCATTTATCGATGGTATCATGTGGATAATTTCGGGGCGATCGTCGGAGCCATGTCGAAGGGTATGCTCGAGGCAGCGCTGTTTCTGAAGATGCGATAGGTCCGAATTCCGGTGCCTGAAACGGTGACGAGTCGAGCGGTGGAGCACAGTGCGACGGTTCATGACAAGAAACGCCCCATAGGACGCCCAGGCCAAGGCTGTGCACACCTCCGATAGACAATATATGGGATTCGAGCACAAGCAATGGAATATGTGGTGGCGACAGGACCATGGGATCACGGCGAGTGCAGCAGCAATTTCGGATTCAAAGACAGTGCCGGCGGTTGAATGAGAAGCACATGTCAAGGGTACACTAGTTAGGAAGATTGCTGGTTGGTGGGCGGTGCCCTGACCGGAGCCGGAGAGCCGCTCGTCTCACATGGGCCAAAAGACACCAAGGAAGCCACCATGCCCCCCGGATTCCGGCAGAAGGGGACGTTTTGCTTCAAGAGGGGTCCGATGGCAACGGGTCTCGTGTGACAGCTTCAGTCTCCTGCAGCGATAGAGTAGGGACGAGGGGTGCATTGCATGCTACTACTTGTACCTACTTGGAGGAGCAAAGGGTCCGTACTAGGGTAGCGCAAATCTTCCGGCAATAGGCCGCACTTTGGAAGGTGAGATAGATTGCGAAGCAGTGTGGGGACAGGAGGCTTGGTGGTTGGACTGCCTAGCGAGCCGGTCGAGTAGATTGCAAATATGGGGTACAGATGCTTCGAGAAGAAACGCAGCCAGGGTCTTCATCTATACGGACCGCACATGTTATCTACACAGTACAAGTAAATGCATAGATATTAAGGGCGATAATGCAGGTGGGTGCGTGACTGTGAAGGTTGGCCCCAAGATCGGGGGCCGAGTGGCAGGGAGGGCAAGTTGGGTTTTGCTGACGGCATCTCTTACGACACGGCCAGCTTTGGTCTGTTTCGCGTTGCCACTGCCGTTTAGTGGGTGACACAGCACACAGGTGGGCCGGTAAGAGCTAAATCGAGCTCGTACTCGGCCTCGACTGCTCTGGGGGCTGGGTCGGCGAGCGCGTACATGTGCATACGCATACCGCCTCGAGCAGCGGCGCTGCAGGGCGGCATGGGCGGAGGGGCAGCGACCCATGAATGCGAAGAGGGGCCCAGGGCTTGGAAGTGTACATCGTGGAGCAGGACGAGGGCAGCAGCAGCAGCAGCAGCAGCAACAGCGCGGGCCCCTGACGGACTTGGGGGGGAGGGTGGTGGTGAAACCAGTCGCGGCCCGCGGCTGAGTTCCTAGCGTAGGGGTGTGCATCGGGCTTACAGTACCAGCGCAGTTCCCCAAGCGGACTAGCGTACTGGGGTCGCTCAGGGTGCTTGGCAGCTGCCTATTAAAAGGTGGCAGACATGCCACTCTGTCCTTTTCGATGCACAGCCTGGGTCCTAGTCTTAACCATCCACTATGCCCACAAGTCCCCGCACACAATCACTACTACTACTACTGCAATGGCCGAGCACACCTTCGACTCTTCTCTCTTTTCCCACACTATGAACACATCCACCATCACATCAACACCCCTCGCCCCACCTCCATCAGTAACATCATCACACCAGCAACAACAGGCATCAGACACCATGATGCCCACGACCATCAAGATGGAAATGATTGAGAACTACGACCACTCGCCCTCACCACAACGCTCCGCCTCCACGTCATCAGAACCATCATCAACACCGGCCCCAGAGAGCAGCGCCTCAAAACCAGTCAAGAAGCGAAAGTCATGGGGCCAGGTCCTGCCAGAGCCAAAGACCAGCCTGCCGCCCCGTAAGCGCGCGAAGACCGAGGACGAGAAGGAGCAGCGACGCATCGAGCGTGTAAAGCGGAATCGTCTCGCCGCCCACAACTCACGTGAGCGAAAGCGACAAGAGTACGAGGTTCTCCAAAACGAGAAGGACGAGCTCGAGGCCAACATGAGGGCCTACAAGGACAAGATGGCCCAGATGGAGGCCGAGCTCCGCTACTACCGATCAAAGTACCCTGGCGAAGCACCAACATCAACCCCCTTCGATCTCTCAACAACACACGACTCGTTCAGCACCATCTGCCCCGCGCAGATCCCAACATCCTTCCCTAGCCCCGTATCCATGGACTCGATGGACTCACCCCGTGACTCCTCGTGCCAACCCGAGACTCCCCCGTCAAGCTTCGAGGCCTCGCCCGAATTCGACTCGACACAATACTCTGCCGCGGTATTGTGCGACCTGCAGTGTCAGTCGAATTCGGCAGCCTCGCTTCGGACGATCTGGACCTACCTTTCTCTATTCAGCCTTTCGCACCAGTCGATGAGAAGCCTGTCGTCATGGAAAACTTCTTCGACTTCGACCAGTTCCCAAAGTGCAGCCCAACCAACAGCGCACCAATGGAACCCGCTTTTAGCATGGTGGATTCTTCTTCAGTCGATGTCTTTGGGTCAACCCTCTTCGACCACAGTTCTACCTCAACCTCTTATGGCTTTCTTGACGGCTTTGATGCAAAGTTCCATGACTTGCAGAGTGCCTCTGGCGCAACTTCGGTTAGCGACGAGGCCCTCGCAGCGGGATCACTTTAGCATTGATGCCATCATGCGGCCCATTAAGAGCGCGAGCGGGCAAGCTGGGTCGGCGGATGGTTGCCGTGGATCACGACTGATGATATCTCCTACCTCTATACAAACGGGTCGGCGTAATGGTGTACAAACAGGGAGGATAGAAAGGTCTGTATTGGAAAGGCAAAATTTGGGGCGTGGTCTCACATGGCGTAGGACGGGGTCCGTAGCTTGTGGCGCGTAACGCGTTGTAGTAACAGTTTCTTTGAAAGACTCTTTGGTATTTCCTTCGTGGATATCACTTCTTCGATGGGTTCACAATGGCGGACAAGTCACACCAAGGGCTGGTGCCTCTATCTAGCCAATTTTACCAATGTCTACTATTCAAACATGATCATCTTCTTTGATTGCTTGTGATGTCCTACTGTCTCCAGTCTTCTGGCCTGCCTTGTGTCGCCTTCGCTTTGCTCGCATCTTATCAGCCGACCCAAACTCCATCCCCCCCTGATGTGTCAGTCCAATGTGTCACCCAGCGTGACCTTCTCCACACTCGTCCCTCATTCCGCATACGCTAATGCTGGCCCAAGACTCTCCACATGGACGATCTCCGCGCCTCTTGCCTCTGACCTGCAAGGGCCCAGACCAAGAAGGCCTCTCTCGTCTCGTCTCGCTGTATCCTGCACATGCACCCTCTCGACGCCGACATTTCCCCTTTCTTCCAGCCCACTTCCTGCACATCCTCTGCCAGCTCAAGCAGCAGTAGTATGTAAGTAGTATACCAACACTTGCCCATTTTTTGTCCGCCCCGCCCCCCTCCACTCCCGAGAAATCAGAATGTCGGTCTGGCCCCTCGAATGATATCGCGATCACGTCATCCAGTTACGCCGAGTCCGCGAGTGCTACTCGAAATCCGAGAAGATTGTAATCCCTACAGCTCTGCTTTCCGAGGGCATTGGGCTTTTGAGCCTGTAGCACGATAACAAGGTGCATGCACCTGTGGAACGGATGTGAGAAAAAGGAATATTAGGATGGAATTTTCAGCCATGCGTGAGTGTGTACCTGTACCGTCTTATCCGGTTATCAGGGTACCTTGGCACATACCTACTCCCACTACAGTAAATGGGAGAAAATGCGGTAGTTAGTTGAGGCAAAGCGTGAACATGATTTGCTTGTTTTGCTTGCTTGTTCAACCCCAATGCCCTCCAAGTCCGTATGTGGGCGGGCAACCAGCCAGAAAAAAACGGACTTCAGTCGGTGTTCGCTTACCTTGCTAGACTAAAGTTCCTGATAACCACACACACACCCACACAAACTACCCCCACCATACACATCACACCGTTTCTGGCGCCACAACCCACCCCCCCCAAATATCCCACCGGACTTTTGACAAAAGCATCGAGAGTCAGTTTGTTGCAGCAAGAAAGTCCGTTAGCTTAGCTTAACTAGCTACATAGCCTAGCCAGCAAGGCAAAGCAAATGCAGGCCCCTCTTCACTGCAAGATTCAGGACTTGCGTGTGCTTGCATCGAGTGCATGAAAAGAGGAGAATGGGCAATGTGATAGCAGCCACGCATCAGCTGTGCACACCGCTTCTGCTCGGAAGCAAAAGGGAAGCCCCACAAAGGAGGACCAGAGAAGGGAAAAAAAGGACGGGACCCGGGGGGAAGACAAGGGAAATGGGGATTCGAAGATCCCACCCTCAAGCATGTGAACATTTGATTCATTTGTATTCATCAAGGAAAGGGCCCAGCCTTTCCTTTATAGAGCTACATGTAAATCGTCCATGCCGAAAAACCCTTCCCTTTTCGCATACACCCAATGCCAAACAGTGGGTGAAATGCAGTGCCAACACAAGCTGTTGAAATCACCGATTTTACTCGTGACTCCCAGTGTTGAAGGGTCTCTCGTGGTCCCCCTCCCCTCCCTCGCTTGACTAAGTATGCTAGCCAAAACCCTGCTAGACTGGGATAAGAGAGAGCCACATGTGAGCTAAACCCGCTCGCGCCGTATCACCGATCTTTCTAGCCGTGGGCCACTCCCCCAACTGAACTTTACTACTACTACTACTACCGCCAAACCGACATTGTTACATGATGATGCTTGCCTCTTGTTGCGGTGAAGCGCACTTGCATTCTGCTGTATGTAACCAACAGGGATGCTTTTTTACTTGGTGACCTGGTCGACTGGTGCGGGCTTGTTCGAGTCTGTAGCCGCTTTGCCCTGGCCTGTGATGCCCTTCTTGGGCATCTCGCCTCCGCCCGAAGCGCTCATGCCTTCGATGCCTGTTCGTTGTCATGTTAGTTGTTTGGTCTTAGAGATAAGAGTCTGATTGTTTGTTGCCATTGGCTCATTTAGGCGGGATGAAGGCGGTGGAGAGGAAGAGGGGTCGTACCATCGCCCTTTTCGAGTTCAGGCATGGGAGCTACCTTCTTAGTGTGGTCCATGGTGGCCTACAGTCTTCGTCAGTATTTCTTCTAGAGGTACTCATTGGAGACAACACTTACGTCTCCAGAGTTGCCGTGGACGATGTTCTGGCCCTCAATGGGTCCGTTGTCTGAGGATCCGTCTCCGTTGCGGGGCATGGTGATGGTGATGGTACGTGCGTGGGTTGAATGTACAGTCGTGAGTATTAGGGAAGAGAGTTGTAAGAGGATTTGCTGATGCTGGAAAGAAGAATGGGAACTCTGAGAGTTTAATATGTATATGGGATTCGTCTTGTGCAAACTGCATTGTTACGTAGAACCGCGATCAGAGGTGAGGTGCTGTGATGTCATTGTGGGGTAAGGCTGTCCAGCGAAGGGAGATGGGACCCACAACAAATACCAAATACGGACCAAATTTGGTATGTTTCGTAAGAGTGACGCAACTGGCCCTCTTTGATTTCTCGCAGCTCTTGGTTATGGTACGTAACGGGGTGTTTTTCCTTCTTCTGTTGTTGTCATGGTCGTGGTGGGAAGAATGTTCTCGCTCATGGCGCGCCGATCCGATCGTAGTAGCGTTATGAGGAATAAGTATGCGAAATGCAAAGTGCATGGAATTGCTCCTGAATCGTGAAATAAAAGAGATTGAATAGATTCGTATGATGTCTATCCCGAAGTCCAGGAACTGCCCTTTGCAAACTGTTGATGGAATCGATATTTTCTGAGAAGGATGAAGGTTTATAGGAGTATGACCGATTCATTGCAACTGAGACACTTTTGGTAGACTTTGGCCATTATTTCTGTGTTTTTTTGCAAGGAGACGAATGGAATATTGAGAAGGCAAGGCCTCCCAGTACTACACCTACCTCTCCGTATTATATCAGGAGGCTGGTTCATAAATTTTCAACCTTCCTATTCACATAAGGTAGAAAAAAGGTTATGGTAATCCGCTGTAACTCTATGGTGCTGTTCTGAACAAGACATCGAAGTAGCTACCTCCTTTACTCGTTGTCTTTCTCCTACAATCACGTCTTTATCTTAGAAATACTATTTAACTACTATATTCTGCTTGTCCTAGCATTATTTTTACGGCTAGTTTCTAAGTCTTAAATCCTTCCTTTTCTGAGTGTAGAGACTATTTCAGAGTTTTTCGTTTCATTTCATCAAGCATCGAATGGGTTCATGTCAAACGGCTGGGTAGATGAGTGCCTTATGTCTCAACATTGGCTGCCGTGTGTAGGAGCCTCAACTGGTCAAGTTGTTTCGCTGTCATAGACGCTTCCTCTGGTATTTAATCTTCATGCTGATGAGAGCCAGAAGAATGTTGCTCGCTTGTGAGCCGGAATAGAGGATGTTTTCGCTTGGAAATGGGATGCTGTAGAAGCTTCCTGTTGAAAACAGCTTCTAGCACAATATAGCGGGCTCCGTTGACCGGCTTCAAGACTTTACCAGTGTTCTGATTGACAAGTGGCATTCCGGGTCAAGCATTAACCCTACTAGTTCTAACATACTATTGTCATTTTCATGATTGACTATCACTACACCCTAACTTTAAATTATCTCGATCACTTGTGGGACACTATCCTGAAAAGCAGATCTCTGAACAAACTTTCGGCTTTCTGATAGTTCAAGCAGTGCCTCAAAATCATTAAGCTCCTCAATATCATGGCTTTGCGGTGGCTCAAAGAAAAACATTCCAATCCTAGAAAACTCCTTTCCGTCTTTTGTAGTAATTAGAAGTCCCGATGGTCCCTTGCCGGTGGTTTCGTCGAAGCAACAGATCTGAAGACTGAATATCCTGCTGCCTTCGACCTTGGAAGCTAAGGTCTCCCAGAAATCAAGGTGAACGTCTGCCAGATCAAGATCAAGATATTCGTTGTCTTCATTCATTAATGTCGGAAACTCTGGAACGCCATGGGATACGGTCTGTTGTACAAGACCTCGCACAGTTAATGATCCGGATTGCACAGCGCCGTACGGTGCCTGGGAATGAGCAGGTTGAGTTATGCATGATACGACTTCGAGCATAGGATCAACTTCAGTAAGCATAAAATCATGCCACTTGACAAATCCAACAGTAGAAGCCCATGACCATGAAGGTGCGCGATATGCTTGGAATTCGCCTTGCCGATGTGGCTGTTCATGGGACCACAGTAGCCCTAAAGGAAGATGTGATTTCCAGAGGCCTGCAAGATAGCGATCATTTGATGTTTGAGCCCAAGTCTGGGCTATTCCAGATATTGCTGGAAGTCTATCCAGCTCGTCCGATAACTTGCGATAAGTATAATGCTCAACAATATCCATCCAATTCCTGCAATCTCGGTCCTCGGCACGAATACCCTTATACATCTTGTATGTCTTGTCTAGGAGGCGAACGAGTGATGATGGTAAGCTTTGAATTGTATCATTCTCATGCATTGAAATACTCCCACAAGACCAGTGGAGCTCACAATCGGTAAATCGAAGAACTCGACGGGCAAGCAGATGCTCTTGGTAAGTCCAGCCGCGGAGATCAACCGGTGAGTTTATCTGACTACTAGAGAGTATTACCGATCCCAGTCTTCCAGATGGTGAAGCGAAGGGTAATCTATACCCGGTTGTCCCTGGAGCAGGCAGAGAGCATTGATGAAGAAACCCTTGACTGCAACTGCCAGCCCTGCTAGCTGAGAGTGTAATGAGAGAACTTGCATATATTCTATGCATTTGCGCAACTTCGGTCGCTTTATCCTCTGGGCTATCTTGGCGAATACAAAGACTGTCGATCCAAATCCAAGCAATCCCAAGATTCGAGGTCACTTGGACAGCGTCACGGATGGTTTTTGGAAGAATTGAAGCAGATACCCCACCCTTTAGTATGTCTTCTGTGCCACCATTCAACTGGAATTCTTGTGGGCCTCCCCAACAGTAGGATAGAGTCGCGTATTTCGTTCTGGCGGTATCGAGTTTGGAGGAAATAACTAGATGAACGCGGACGCACATTCCGCTCTCTTCACTGGATGTATTGATTTCCAACAACCTTCCGGGAAGAAATGGAGAGCTTGGCAATGCGCAATCTGGGTGGTTCATTTCGCACTCGTAAAGGCGTTGCCTTGCCCACGAAGCTGATTCCTGCCATCTGAAATCGTGCAGAAATGGTCGAATCAGAATGCTCTCCGCTGCTGGGTTGCCTGTTCCATTGTTAAACTTCGTTCAAGCTAGGACATGCTCCTTTATCTCTGTACCTTGACAAGCCAAGACGAAATAAGAACGTTCTTTTTGCTCCGGATGTCGCACATCTCCCCGCAATTCACCCATCGCACATCTCCAAGTGCCTCTAGCCGTTTCTAGACGCTCCGCATACTCACTAAAGAACAGTTCATATGTCCAGTTTTCTGGCCGGAAACGGGGCGAATCGCTGGTTTCTTCATTTTCATGAGTTTCCAAGATAGACTGGAGCGAATCGAAAGCTTCCTTGAAAAAAGCGCAGCCTTCTAACGCGCCATCTCGTATCCTTGAGCCCCGATATCTGATGAGGGTTCCGGAAAATACGTCATCATTGACTTTCCAGTTGCGTTCCATGCTAGGATCGAGTTCCTGCACGTTGCAGAAACTACAGGAATGGATCAAACCCGGAAAACTTGAATTAGACATCTCCAGATCTTCGCCTGGTTGAAAGCTCTCTTCATTATTCATTGTAGCTGGGCTCTAGCACTAGCCCTCAGATTACTAGTTGGTGATGTCCTTTATGTGAAGTTTTATGATCTTTTGCCATGCATCACCGTCGCTCTGGTTGGCTGCAGCAAATGCGTGGGGAGTTGTTCAAGGTTTATGCCTTCACACCGGCCTAGCCCTTCTAATCATGGTAATACACTGGTGTGCAGGATTTTCCTTCACGTGACATTTATCCAACCAATCAAGCCTACTAACTACTTAGATTAGACCTTTATAACCCGGCGTCAGCACAATCATCTGAAAAGCTATAGGATTAGATTTCCACAGAGCGTGAGTTTTGCTTTCTGAATTTGTGCTCTACAGCGGTCATAAAGCCAATAATTAGTTCTTAATATCGTGGGGAGATTAAAAAACTTGGGTTAGCTACTGCGTGAGTTCAAAAGGTTAAGAAGAATTGCGTGATGGTGTTGTAAGATACAGGACCCTATTATCTATTGAGAGAAGCTCTCAGTATTTAGGCGGAAAATTAAATAGGGCTGGACCGTTCTGAAACAGGCAAATAACATTATTGATGTGTAACTGCAGAGAAATTTCCCGCATTTAAGACGTTAGAGTCGCTTGTTTTCCAAGTACTTACAGTTTGTCTCCCCACACTGTGTCTCGCTACTACAGGGCGGACGTTACATTGTTATATACATATTTAACTTATCAGATTCGATATTTCCATAATAATTCGTACGTTACACTGTCAAATCCCCGTATAAAATTTATACATTATTCCCGGTTGCTAGACTACTGCGGAACCCTGGCAGCCAAACTAGACAGCAACAGTGCAATGGCAAACACAATATCGTCAGATAACCTCACCCCAAGCTTACATATATATCTCGCTAAAATATAGGGGCTCAACAAGTAATACAGAAACATACGGATTTCACACTTTTGTTTTTCACTCTAGCCCTGAAGTGTGAGTTTTGTCTCTCAAGGCTGCATATTCAACGGTAGAGCATCCAGACACTTGTATTGGGGTCAGATAAAGACGTGACAACAGGAAATGGCAATACAAGTATTATCGGAAAGGCACTCCCACAAGACTATAGTCTTGCATAGGGGTATACAAGACTAAACACAAGCTCATCCAATACTAAGCTTTACCACTCCACGCCAATTGCTAATAAACGATGCACTATTGCAAACCAAGAAATGAAGCCTTCGCTACCACAGCCCTTCCAGCATCCAACTCATACGTCTAGCAGTTTTGTTTACCACTCAAGATGAAGTTGCACTCTCTCGGAACCAAGACGCGTCTTTGGTGATCAAACCACGCCTCCTGGTCGCACTTGATACACGTCTTATGGCAAGTGTAGTCTCCCTTATCTATCTTGTAATTAGCAAACATACATAAATCACATATCATCCTACGCGAGAAAAAAAAACGACGAATAAACTTACAGTGACGCAGCATTCTCGAGCCAGGACAGTACTTGGCCGAGGCCGCTCCAAGAGTGAGGAGAAGAGCAAGAACAGAAACAACGTTCAGCTTTAAATCTTTTTGAATTCGAGAATTTTTCAAGATTTTCGGGTAAGAGTGTCGTTTGGTATCGTAACAAGGTAGAGGGTTTGGTGTTGACGTGAAGTTGCAAGTTCCTTGGCTTCGTTCCAAGCAGCGACAGAAGATAGTATCTGTTATATATTCATTGAAAGAAAAAGCCAAGAAACCAAGAAGAAAAATAGCCAAATGGATCAACATTTCTTGTTTGGCGGTTTACGAAGCGCCAATTTCGATAAGTAATTCGAGCATTGTGCCTATGTTTTCGGCTTTTACTGACTCGTTATAGGCAATTGTTGTTGTTGTTGTTGTAGACGGCATACTTGCCATATACTAGCAACACGATGGGTTATTGGTTAAGAATGATCGATATCGAATAGTAGGCAGTTTTTTTATTCTTGGGTTTAACAGCTATCTTTTTTATGCTCCTATTTCCTTGAAGATTTTTTTCTTTGTCGGTGAAAATTTTGAGGATATTAAGGCCGGTGATGGGGATCGTATGATAGTGCGGGATTTTATGAGAATGAAAGAAACTTGGGGGTCTGATATGGCGAGGAAGAGACGCAAGATATGATTGTGAAATAAGAGGTAGATATGAATTAGGAGAGTATAACCGTTGTAGTGATTTAGAGAGCATGTGGCATCGCATGTTGTTTGAAAGGCCAGCTCATGCATTTCGAAATCTTCAAGAGAAGAGATTTTTGATAGCGTCCTTCAATCTTTTTGAGAGAAAGAAAAACAGTAACTATAGCATATTACTGCACATCCATTAATCATGACAATGCAATGTACTTTGGAAATAGATACTTGATCGATTAGTATACACTATGCAGCACATCTGCATTTAAAGTATCACTGTCTTATGGAATATCTAAATTTCGCGCTCTACACACCTCTACCTCAAGCAGCAGTCCATCACATTGCCAGGTCAAAGTTCAAACAGACACCACTCCAACATCAAGCAAGACAGAAAAAGGCTAGAAACTACCCTAAGCGCCCCATCATAAAATCCCCACAGCCTACAAAGTCTCAACACGCATAGCAAGGAAATGAGATACGAACCCCGCCGAAACAGGGCCGTTTCCTCCAACGCACCCTCCAACTACACACCGTACCACGTTTGAATCAGCATCTGAAAACTAAACAACAACAATGTGAAGCAAATCATCAGCCCATCATTTGTGTAGACTGGATGTCCCAGGCATCTAATTCGCGAATACCTTCGATGAATGAAAACAACCAGGGGTGGTGGGTCAAATCGGGAAAGGGACCTGGAGGACTGGTATGCTACAACGGCCTTATCAATTCACTGGACGGAGCGTTGGCGACGGCGGTGAGGTATTTGATGTGTGAAAAAGGGTAAAGGTTAGAGGGGAGAAAAGGCTCAGTCCAAAGCAAACAGTCTTCTTTGCAGAGAAACAACGGTTGATCATCTTAGCTTGATTACCTAAGCTACTTGCCTCTCAACATACCAGACGACCATAATAAACACCAACATTTTTCATTTCCCACAGATCAAACCGGGCTAACCTCTCACCAACCACGCCCCATTCTAGCCTCTACCTCGCGCTCCTCACCCACCCCACAACACCAACACTGTAACCGACCAACCCGCCTACTCTTTCCCTTTCGCCCTTCGCCTCTTCCTGCCACTTCCTCAGCAATCCCACTGCCTCCTCATCCAACACCACAACATCACCATGTAACCTCAGGAAAACGCTCATCCAAGCCTGCACAAGCTCGTAATCGCGGCGCTGCGCCAGTCGCGCAGTGAGCGCCTTGATAAAAGTGCGGAGTTCCGTGTACGGCTCCGTTGTGTCGAGGGTGCGGATGGCGATATCGGCGGCGGAAGGAGGGAGAGAGGATAATTGGGATAGGAGAGGGATGTAGTCGCCTGTTTCGGTGGCGTGGGCGAGGTGCCTGCTGAATGTGTCGGTGGCGGTGGCAGCACTGGAGCGGGATGCGAGGGCTGAGCTGGAGATGCGAGATTTGGTGTCTTGGGATTCGGTGGATGCGGCAAGGGCATTGCTGTTGTTGTCATCTACGCCCTGGATCTGGTTCTGGCCAACAGAAGGTAGGAAGAATGGTGCTTTTTCGGGCGCTTTGGGTGCTTCTTTGGGTTTGTTGCGGGCGCGGATGACGTCGAGGTGGAGGAGGGTTTGCCAACGCGATTTGGGGACTAGACTGAGAGTCGTGATGTTGTCGCTGAGTTGATCCATGATGGGGACGGTAATTTCATCTTCGTCCTCGTCTCCTGCCTGCTCTTCGGCTGCAGCTTCCACAACGGCAACACCTCCTTCACCAGATGCTGTGGGTGCACTGACTGAGACGATGTCGTCCTCAGTAATCTGGCGCGTCGAAACATGCGTGAAGAGCGTTCGGTTGGTCCAGATGTGCACGCCGACCTCACCATCTAGACCCGTGGCAAGGAACTCACCGGAAGGCGAGAAAGCCACGGTGTTGCACTTCCTAGGAAGCTTCATTGCGTCAATCATATGGCCAGTTGGCAGATCCCAGACCCTGACAGTGGAGTCGGAAGCTGCAGAGATGATCCATCGGCCATCACTCGAGAAAGTGTAGTCGAGTGTTTGCAATCCGGTCTGGGAGCGAGAAGCCCAGAGCTCTCGAATGAGCTTCTTGGTAGTAATGTCGACAACACGGATAGAGCCGTCATCACAGCTCAATGCTATTAGGTCACTGTTGCGGTGATAGCGCATACCGAATATCTTCGTCATAGGATACCAATCAATCTCATGGAGCAGGATGCCCGTAGCAAAGTCCCAAAACTGGCCACGTTAGTATCGTCACAACTGGAAAGAGTATTTCTACTCACCTTGACTTTGCCATCGTCCGAACAACTTATAAGCGTACGGTTCAGAGCATCTACGGCAAGGCCAGTGATGGCTCCTTTGTGCTTTCCTTCTCCTTTGACAAATTTGCGCGGGGAATCTTCTCCGCTACCGAGAGCCTCTTCAGCCTCCAGTTGCAGCAGCTTGTACTTCTTCGCCTCGACTGAAGTAAGTCGAGCGGGAAACTTTCGCCGGAATTTGCCAGACTGCAAGTTGTACATGTCGATGGAACCACCGGCGGAGCCAATCACAGCAAATGTGCCACAAGATGAGATTGCGACACTCTTAACTTCGGTTCCGTCGCCAGTATCAAACGCCCACCTTCCTGCTCGCTTGCGACCCCAGAACCATGTCCTTGCAGTCTTGTCGCCCTCGTGTCCGGTAACGATGCTCTCCCATCCAGTCATGTTGACCTCAGGAGCTTTCTTGTCTTTGCCCTTCACTTTTGACGAGTTGTTCCAGATGCCAACTACACCTGGCATGGCACCCATGCCACCATCGCGGTTGAGGGAGCAGGCCACACAAGTAATTGCGGGGGCCTTCAGATCCTCCAACTTGGTGTGGTGCTTTGATGTCTCAGCACTTCCATTCAGCAAGCCCATCTTCTTTGCCTTTTTCTGAACAGCACCCTGGCTGAGCTCTGTACTTTGTCCATCTCTTCGCAGACTCCAACCCCAGAGACTGCGATCTTTGCTTGCGCTAAGGAGCCACTTACCAATATCATCTGAACCGTCTGAGTTGGAGGGGAGGAAACGGAGAGTCGAAACTGGTGCAGCATGCCCACCACGAGAGTGCAGGATGCGCGGGACGGGTGAGAAGGGCGTCTCGTCAAAGATCCAGCTCTTCAGCGAGTTGTCCAAGCCACTTGATACAATTACTGCCTGGCCAACGAGAAATTCAATCTTGCTGATGCCACCCCCAACTCCACCACTCGCAGATGGAGGTGGGCCGTGTGCGCCTCGCAGGGTACCCATTTTGCGACCACCCTTGTTCAGGTCCCAAAAGGTAATGTCTCCACTGTCACTGCTAGCCGTCGCCATGACACCGTCTTCACGACCATCATCACCAGCACCTAGTCCATCACTTCTGAAGGAGATGGACGTCACTGGGTGCTTCTGCGAGCCGCCGGTATTTAGGCGCATGATCTCCTTGTCTGTGCGAATATCATGTATTGTGATTGGGCCGGACTCGTATGCGATGGCGAGGAGCGACAAGGCGGGTGTTGGCTGCAGTGCGGTCACAGAGCCAAAGTCAGCAGCGGGCGGGAGGAGCGTGTACAATAGTTTTCCGGTACTGATGTTCCATATCTCAACTGATCCGTCTTTGCGGCCGACAAAGATTTTGTTGAGGTATGTTGGCATGTTGCAGATGCAGCCAGAGAGTGGGCTGGAGGAAACTCCTTGGAGAGTAGTGTAGTGCTCTAGAGAGCTAGTTCGCCAGACTTCAATCTTGGTATCGCCGCATCCTACAATCCATTCTCCAAGGACCACCAGTCTTCCGATGCGCTCGATGCCGCCACGAGGTAGCTCGAGCTCGGCGACCTTTTTTCCACGCTGGAAGATCCATACGCCGCGTTCAGAATTCTTCTTCGGTCCTGACCAGGCGGCAAAGACGACTTTTTTCCATGCTAGTGTCGCAGAGATATCCTCGGGCGTCTGGGGTCGGGTAATGAAGACAAGGTTAAGTCCGCGCTTGAGGTCATATGTCTGGAGGGAGCGGCCGACGGAGGTTGTGATCTGGAAAGTAGTCTTGCCGAGTGGAAGCGCAGTGAAGGGAACAGCTGTAGGAGATACAAGGCCTACTGTCTGTGGGATATAGGTTAGCTGCCAGTGTGTAGCTCGTTGCGTAGCATAAACTTACCCTAAAAGGCGCGAATATCTTGGACTGGCGGACAAGCTGCGCAGAGCTCCTTTCGCCATTGCTCTGTGTTTTTTGGCGTTTGGTGACTGGGCCATTGGCAGTGCCGTTGTGCACCTGGGGACTTGCCATGATTGGAGTAGGGGGGCAAGGCGCAACTAGAGGGTGGGCATGTGCTTGGAGTTGTCGCGACTTTTGAGCGGCGCAACCAAATTTTTGCGGAGATGAGATTAGATTAGATGTTTCCCGGCTAGAGCAGGGCGCTAAGAGATCGACACAGGGGTCCATCGGCGGCCTTGCATACCCACGTAGTGTTACGTAGTATGTATGGATGATGTCGCCGAAGGGTCCTCATCGTGAAGAACGACCAGGCAGGCACACTGACAAGGACCGCGACAACGAAAAGGAGGCATACAAATCAACTCTGCCATGTCATCAGGGGCCTTAGCATGTGCTGACATCAACTCTGGTCGGCTGCGCATTCCTTATGCTCAGCGGAGACAGGCCGGGCCGAAACGATAGATGCAACACGTGGCGCAGACCATACTCGCTACAGCAGCGAAAGCGATCGTCTATGGCTGGAAAGGGTAGAGTATGGTTGTGCAGTGCAGGGAGACGGCCCATTCACATCGAGCCATTGGAGCCATTGCGCCAAGTCACGCAGAGTGACGCACTATTCGTGATGGCCCGTCTGGAGCTTCTTCAGACGATACAAGAATTCGGTCTCCCAGGCCCCAGAAGCATCATGAAGTCGTGAAGGACATACGTACAGCCGCCCATCGCCCCTTGTGCCAGCCCGCCCGCCAGCCCTCGCTTGTGGAAAAGCAAGCATTTTGTCTGACAACACCCCACGCACGCGCGGGTATAAGACGCAGCATGGAGCCGTCCCTCTCCCGCACGGCAAGTTCAGAGAGCACTCAATCATGGCAACAGCTCGCCACGGCGAGCGGCGCGTCAGCAACGAGCAGCAGAAAGGCGCGGTCGAGCGAGCCGGAGACGGGCGCCGCCACCGTTGAGCGGGCGAGCGTGTCAGTGCCGTCGCTGAGCGCAAAAGCGATTCGACAAAGCCTGCCCGGCCGGCGAGCATCCAAAGCATCGGATAGCAGTTTCCTCGAGTATCTGGGAAGTGCCTGGTCTGGTTCCGCCATCGACGAGACCGATGGCTCGTCGACGCTAGAGAACTCGCGCGCAAGTCTTGCAAGCGGCCCCGTCAATCCCCAGCTGCTGCCGGACTCGTTCCGACATGGCACACCCGCCGCCGCCGCTGCTGCTGCTGCCCCTGCAGAATCCAAACGGCTATCCATCTCGTCTTTTGTGTCGGCCCTATCGCATCGTGGATACAGTTGGAGTGGTAGAAGCTCGGTAGCCGGCTCAGAGCCCGAAGGTGCGTACGTCATGCGCCTTGACCGGCCTGGCTGGCAGCTTTTTTCCCACATGCCATGACCCGTCTTGTCCTGTTTGGCCTACTACTGACTTTCCCCCCATAGCCAGAATGGACAACCCCCATGGAACCGCGACCGCCACTACTTCCCTCTCGGTCACCACCTCGAGCCAGAATGGCAGTCTCGGCACAAAGCCCTCGCCCACGCAATTGCTCTTCCAGCAGGATCAGACTGCCCCCAGCAATCACGCCCAGGGCTCCTCCTCTTCCCCCACCGCCAACAACAACAATGCTATCCCACCACATCCTGCCTCTCCCCAGCTCAACCCGCCGGCCCTCTCGTCGCAGCCCCGCCGCTCGCGAAGCCGTACCGCCCAGAGACGCATTAGTGGAAGCACCGCTCCGAGCAGCAGCCCAGCCAGCAGAGACATGCGCGAGAAGAAGCCGACAAAGGGCATAATTGGCGTCTGTGCCCTCGAGTCAAAGGCCCGCAGCAAGCCCGCACGCAACATTTTTGGAAAGCTCGTCGACGAGTTCGAGGTCAAGATCTTTGGCGACAAAATCATTCTCGATGAGGCCGTAGAGAACTGGCCCATCTGTGATTTTCTCATTTCCTTCTTCTCAGACGGCTTCCCTCTCGACAAGGCCATCGCTTACACCCGGCTACGGAAGCCCTTTTGCGTCAATGACCTGCCCATGCAGCAGGTTTTGTGGGACCGTCGTCTGTGTCTTGGCATCCTCGATAAGCTCAATGTGCCCACCCCGAAGCGCATTGACGTGAGTCGGGACGGTGGACCAAGACTGCCCTCTGCCGAATTTGCAAAGACTTTGTACGAGCGAACTGGCTTAAAGCTTGAGGGGCCCGAGGACGGCACCGGTGGCGGTCTGCCCGCGCCCAAGAAAGTAGAGCTGATTGACGACGGCAACACAATTTTTGTAGATGGTGCCACGCTGACCAAGCCCTTTGTGGAGAAGCCCGTGAGTGGTGAAGACCACAATATCCACATCTACTTTCACAAGAAAGATGGCGGTGGTGGCAGGAGGTTGTTCAGGAAGATCAACAACAAGAGTTCAGAAAAGGACGACACTCTTGAAGTGCCAAGGGCCATTACCGAACCAGGAAGCAGCTACATCTACGAACAGTTTCTGCGGGTCGAAAACTCAGAGGATGTCAAAGCATACACTGTCGGACCCAATTTCTGCCATGCCGAGACGAGGAAATCACCCGTTGTCGACGGTCTCGTCAAGCGAAATCCAAGCGGCAAGGAAGTCCGCTATGTAACGAAGCTGAGCGATGCAGAAGCCGCTATCGCATCAAAGATATCAGAAGGCTTTGGCCAACGCGTGTGTGGCTTCGACTTGCTTCGCACTGGAGAACAGAGCTACGTCATCGATGTCAACGGCTGGAGTTTTGTCAAAGACAACGGCGATTACTACGACAGAGCAGCTACTATCCTCAAAGACATGTTCCTCAAGGAAATTGCACGCAAGCAACACAAAAATGCTGCCCAACACGCCGCTGCTGATGCACAGTCTGGCCCAGAGGGTACTTCTGGTTCTGCCACTGGAACAAAGAATGGATCAGGCCATCGCAAGACTCTAGGGAAGCTCTTCAAGAGTCCTAGTATGTCTAAGGTGCATCCTGGCCCGATTCATGCTCACCTTCCACACATGAGACAATCCAGCACTATGCCCTCTTCGCCTGAGACATCGTTGAGTACAACACCCGTTGCAACTTCGCCCGGTCTTGAAAGGCCCAATTCTTCAGTAATGCTCAGTCCGACAACGGCCACTTCTACAACACTCCCCCAAGGCATAGTATCTGACCCTGACGTGCCGCTTCCGTCTGCATTCGAAGACGACGATGAAGACATGAATCTCGAACCAAAAAGATCAATGTCGACCGATCATGTTGACGTACCACCTCCTGCGACTGCAGCACAATGGAAACTGAAGGGCGTCGTTTCAGTCATTCGCCATGCTGACCGTACGCCTAAGCAAAAATTCAAGTACACTTTCCACAGCAAGCCCTTTGTCGACTTGCTCAAGGGGCATCAAGAGGAAGTGCTCTTGATTGGCGAAGCGGCCTTACAAAGCGTCAGCGATGCAGTAAAGGTGGCCATGGAAGAGGGCATAGAAGATCCAAAGAAGCTGCGTGAACTGCAGTTATACCTAACCAAGAAGGGAGCATGGCCTGGCACCAAGGTACAGATCAAGCCAATGTTCCGAAAGAGGAGGAAGGAAGAGTTGCAGCCGGGAGAAACTCTGCCTGAAGAGACACCCGAAGCGCAAAAGCCGGATCCGATAGAAACTGAAGGTCAAGATGCAACGGGAAAAGTGGACAAGGATGGCGAGCCGGAGTTACTCAAGAACCGCAGTGACTCCATGTCTGGCGTCACCTTGTCTCGTATAACCGCCCAAGATAACAACATGGTCCTCGATAAGCTACAGCTAATCATCAAGTGGGGAGGCGAGCCAACCCATTCGGCTCGACACCAGACCCAGGACATGGGTGCAAACTTCCGCAACGATCTCTTGCTGATGAATAGGGACGTACTTGACGATGTTCACATATTCAGCAGCTCAGAGCGACGAGTCACCACCAGCGCACAAATCTTTGGTGCATCTTTCCTAGACAGGGATCAGTATCTGGCCGAACACATCCAAGTTCGCAAAGATCTTCTTGATGATTCCAACGCGGCCAAAGATGTCATGGATAAGGTCAAGAAGAAGCTTAAGACTCTACTGCGCGCTGGTGACAAAGCTCCACCACAGTTTGCTTGGCCCAAGGATGTGCCTGAACCATATCTTGTCGTCAGGCAGGTAGTAGATCTTATCAAGTTCCACCAGCGTGTCATGAACCACAACTTTAAGAAGATCAAGACGGAAGCCATCTCATCGCTGGCTGCACTAGCGTCGCCAACGTCCGGATCGCAACCAGAGCAGTCCCAGTACACCAACGTCAGCCACATTCAGTCCCGTTGGTGCTGTAACGAAGGCCCCGAACTGTTCAAGGAGCGTTGGGAGAAGCTCTTCAAGGAGTTTGGCGACGCCGACAAGGTCGATCCTAGCAAGATATCTGAACTCTATGACACGATGAAGTTTGATGCTCTTCACAATCGCAACTTTCTCGAGTGGGTTTTTACGCCAGATGCCACTTTCGTGGACGAAGAATCCATCGCCGATGGTTCTAAGCAAACTACGCCCGACAATTCATCTGCTAAATCTATACCTGTGGGTCCAACTCCATCAGAAGCCCAGTTGAAAGCGGAAGCGAAAGAGCAGAACGCCGAGAAACCCCAAGAGAAGGATAGGAGCAGCTTGTCTCATCGTATGGGCTTTAGGCGCAGGTCTGAAATTTCCATCAAAGCACCTGCAGCACCATCTTACGCGCACGAATCGTACTTTAAGTTGTACTCTGGCGTCGGGACCGCTTCCTCCAAGCCTCAGACAGACGTGCGTCTCGTCAAGCTGCGCGAGATGTACCATCTCTGCAAGGTTCTCTTCGATTACATTGGTCCTCAAGAGTATGGTATCGAGAGCGAAGAGAAGCTGGAGATAGGATTACTTACCTCACTCCCCCTGCTCAAGGAGATTGTCGGGGACCTCGAAGAACTCCAAGCATCCGACACTCCAAAGAGTTTCTTCTACTTCACCAAGGAGTCGCACATTTACACCCTGCTCAACTGCATCCTGGAAGGTGGTATCAAAACAAAGATCGAACGCAACGCTATTCCCGAGCTCGATTACTTGTCACAGATCAACTTTGAACTCTATGAGTCTGAGAATGCTAGCATCGGTGACCAACCGCATAC